CAGATCCAAGCCGACGAGTGCCGTACCTGGACAAGTTCGCTGTTCTCCGTAAAAGCCAGGGCGCGGGGGGTGTGGCGGACATTGTGTTCAACGCCATGGTCCGGGACTGCTTTCCCGAGGGCGTGTGTTGGAGGAGTCGAAAGGACAATCCCGTCAACAAGTGGTATTTTGAGCGATCGAGGGGTACGCTCAAGCTCAGGGATATGAACTGGACCATGTTTTGGACAACGCCAAAACTGGCACTAGATGGCCTGAAATTCCGCGACTACGAAGCTGTGTGTCGCAGTATTGAACCGTCGTGGGCAGATAAGAAGCACATAGTTGATTAACAAAAATAAAAATAAAGTTTACAAAGTTATTCGAACGAGCTATAAACGGAACAGTATGACTTTACCGTAGCTCGTGCACTCCGTGCGGAAATTCGTGGTTATCACATGGTAAATGGTCGTGGTTATCACATCCAGTATATTGGAGATGAGATTTTGCTACTGTCCCATATTGATTCTAAACATGGCGTCATTCGTTTATTTGGGTTCGTGAAACTACGGTACTTGATATCTATGCCACATCTGCTCAGAACCCCCGAGGATAAGAACAAGATATCATGGGTGTTATTATGCTAGTTTCCCTGATACAAAGCATAACGTTGAAAAAACAAGAAACTCGAAGTAGCCACACAAATCTTCTAGCTGGTGTAAGTGGGAGCTACCTAACCAGGGACTAACTTAGTCTACATCATCTATTTTGCTGCATGGAGGGGGGACGGGGCGGGGGTAAAAAATAGACACTCGACCCCACCATGACTCGAGAAGCGATAGCGACTGATAGACGGCGATAACACTGGAGGCGGGGTGATAAGGGAGCCGATTGGGGGTGATTGTAGTCGTCATACCTGGCTAAGACGGCTGTGGCGGGACAGAGGAGCAGAGGAACAAGAATAATAAGAGTGTGATTAAATAAAAATCTCGTGGAAAAATGAAATATGTGGCAGGAGTTGGTTAGAGAACACTTGGCGACACATAATAGTAAACAGGAATTACCTAATGCATGGGTTCGCGGACAAGGCTGGCGGTGACTGTTGGCCAGGTGGACCGCATGCGTTGCAAATGTTTTAGATCCTGGCACTGCGCTGAGTGTTGTTTGTTGCTTGAAGCGTCTAGAAGATTCGCGTCGCAGCAGAATGTGATGGCACGCCCCTGCTGGAAGGGGGGTGTTGCTAGGGAGGGGGGAGGGGCAGCCCGGGTGAGGCTAGCCTGCCACCAGAATTCAACCACAAGATCGCCCCTGGCAAGCCTGAGTCCCTCCCTCTCCCACCTTATTAGGTAGTCGATACCTGTAGTGCGCATTTGGGCAGCTTTTTTTTCCCTCCTTATTTAAAGAATCGCCCTTCTACCGTGGTGCTTGAGGCAGTCACTAGAACACATCCAACGTAACTGCAGACGACGACTGGTTTCATAGTATCTCCGACCGCCGCCGACTTCCCGACCTTCTCCCACTCACCGCTGCCACTGGTTCCTGTTCCTGTTCCGCTTGCTCTGTTTGTTGCTTCACCCACCAAAAGAGCCCGCCTGTACCGATTCTCGACCGAGAATTCCATCTAGCGAGTCCACTCCTACCTGTGTTTACGTTTCCCTCAGACAACATGAGTGTCGTTGGTATGTTTCCTCCCCCGCCCAGACACCCCAGACACCAGACACTCCGGCGCATCTATTTGTATTCTTCTTGCTGACCTCGGTGTCTTCCAGGTGTTGATTTCGGAACACTCAACACAGTTATTGCTGTAGCGAGAAATCGAGGTGTCGATGTCGTACGTCACACCCCTCTCCTTGTCTATTGAATATTAGAACGACCCCGTCCACAAGGCTGACGTATCGTTTGGTTGATTAGATTACAAATGAAGTGTCCAACCGTGCGACGCCGTAAGTATCACCTGCTTGGCTAACGATAGCTCGTCTCAACTAACGTCGGCTTCAGTTCCCTCGTAGGATTCGGCCCCAAATCCCGCTACCTTGGTGAGCCGGCCAAGACACAAGAGATCTCTAACCTCAAGAACACCGTCGGTTCCCTGAAGCGTCTTGCCGGCCGCGCTCTCAAAGACCCCGAAGTTCAGATCGAGCAGCAATATGTCTCGGCCGCCCTTGTAGACTGCAACGGCCAGGTGGGCGCCGAGGTCTCGTACCAAGGCAAGAAGGACAAGTTCACAGCCACACAGCTTGTTGCTATGTTTTTGAGCAAGATCAAGCACACTGCTGCCACTGAGCTTAAGCTGCCGGTGGCCGACGTGGTTCTTAGCGTGCCGCCATGGTTCACCGACATCCAGCGACGAAGCATTCTCGACGCTGCCGAAATCGCCGGCCTCAAGCCGCTTCGGATTATGAACGACACCACCGCCGCCGCTTTGGGCTACGGTATCACGAAGCTTGATTTGCCCGCCGAAAATGAGAAGCCGCGCCGTGTCGCCTTCATTGACATCGGCCACAGCAACTACTCTTGCTCTATTGTTGAATTCAAGAAGGGTGAACTGACCGTCAAGTCGACTGCCTTCGATCGCCACTTTGGTGGTCGCGACTTCAACATGGCCCTAGTCAATCATTTCGCAAAGGAGTTCAAGGGCAAGTACCGGATTGATATCACGACCAACCCTAAGGCCGCGGCCCGTGTCGAGGCTGGTGCCGAGAAGATGAAGAAAATTCTGTCCGCTAATCAGCAAGCCCCGTTAAACATCGAGTCGCTCATGAATGATATCGATGTGAACGCTATGGTCACACGGCAAGAATTCGAGGCACTCGTCGAACCCCTTCTAACCCGGGTCGCTGGACCATTGGAGCAGGCACTTGCCGATGCCAAGCTAACCAAAGATGATATTGATTTCATTGAGCTGGTTGGCGGCAGCACCCGTATGCCGGCTATCAAGGAAAGAATCCAGGCCTTCTTCGGCAAGGGTCTTTCGTTCACTCTCAACCAAGATGAGGCCATTGCTCGGGGCTGCGCCTTCGCCTGTGCTATCCTTTCGCCCGTCTTTAAGGTCCGAGATTTCTCCGTCTCGGATATTGTCCACTACCCGATCGAGTTCTCATGGGAGAAGGACGTAGATATTCCCGATGAGGATACAAGCTTGACTGTATTCAATAGAGGCAATGTTCTGCCTTCCACTAAGATTCTCACCTTCTACCGAAAACAGCCCTTTGATCTAGAGGCACGATACTCGAAGCCCGAGGACCTTCCCGGCAAGATTTCTCCGTTTATTGGCCGTTTCTCCGTCAAGGGAGTCAAGGCTGACCCTAAGACCGAATTCATGATATGCAAACTCAAGGCTAGGGTCAATATCCATGGTATCTTGAATGTAGAAAGTGGTTATTACGTCGAAGACCAGGAGGTCGAGGAGGAGATCAAGGACGAGAAGACGGAAGATGGAGAGAAGAAAGATCCAGATGTGAGTGTTGCCTCCTAATGATTCTACTAGGTCGACGGGCTACTTGGTAACATGACTTCAACTGACCTATTTCCCCTAGGCTATGGAGACCGACGACAAGAAGGCAGATGGTAAGTCTAAGACGCGAAAGGTGAAGAAGCAAGTTCGCAAGGGCGATCTACCCATCGTTGCTGGAACCACCTCCCTCGACGCCAACGCCAAGAGCAGCCTATTTGAGAAGGAGGCAGCCATGATTATGGAGGATAAACTCGTGGCCGACACCGAGGACAAGAAGAACGAACTTGAGACTTATATTTACGACATGCGCAACAAGCTAGACGACCAATATGCCGACTTTGCTAGTGACGAGGAGAAGGACAAACTGAGATCCAAGCTCACCGAAAGCGAGGTAGGTTTTCCACGTTTTCTATATTTACTGATGCGGTGTGGCTGATTCTTGGTAGGATTGGTTGTACGAGGAAGGCGAGGACGCCACCAAGGCTGTCTACATTGCCAAGATGGACGAAATTCGTGCCATGGCTGGTCCCATCACCCAGAGATACTTCGACAAGGTCGAGACTGACCGCCAGGCATTGCAAGCCAGGCTTGACGCCGAGGCGGCCGCAAAGAAGGCTACCGAGGAGGAAGCCCGTAAAGCAGCTGAGCCGGAGAAGGGCGAGGGTAATAAGGACGAGGAGATGACGGATGCTGAAGCCGCCAAGCCGGAGGTCGAAGAGCCTGAGTCTTAGAAGTATTTGCCCCGAAAACGGCTAGGCAGGGGACACGGTGCGCGGAATGATGACATACATGACACGCGGACGAGAAGATGCAAAAAGTAATTATTACAATGAAGCTGGCCGCGACTGGATGGTAACGATGGATTTGGGAAAATATCTCGTTCGATCCTGACGGGATATTGCGGTGTTAGAGCTAGACTACGGCCGCCCGGCCAGTATACGGGGCGGGCTGTCGACTTGAGATAGACCTTACCCGGATATGGTATACTCATGACTTTAGAATCTTCTTTCACGACTGTGATGCCTGGTAAAGTTGACATGTGAAGCGAAATTGATCTTCCCAGGGATGTGTAATTATTGCTATTACTTGAATCACCACAACTGAGTTTTTTAGTAGCTCTACAAGACTTATGATTAGTAGTAGTAACAGTCGACGTGTGTGTATAAGTTGTATCTGGAGTTTGGAGTTGCTATCATTCCAACCCCCCCCCCCTCCCAAAAAAAACCAGGGAAGAAGAAAAAAAGGAGAGCAACGCTTCATACACAGTAAACTCACAAGAAACCATGTGAATTTTGTAGTTTATCGACGTGCTTCCTTCCCCTTAGCCCACTAAGCTCACCTCCATTCCCATAGTACTAGCTTAGGAAATCACAAGAAAGGTTTTTGCTCCAAGTATGGAATAAAATTACTTCTTCTATTAACACCCACACCCAGGGTTACACACGGCACTCCCACTATCCAACCGAACGCCGCAAGACTATCTGGTGGGCCCTCTACGAGCCCCTCCACCCCTTTCTTCCTTTCCAAGTCATAGGCCCCTCGAGAGCCGCTCAACACCATCAATCAATCAGGCCTCGTGGCCTAATGGCATGGCGTCACATTTCGGTTATCCCACAAGAAGATAATTCATTCTGTGAAGATTGTCGGTTCGAATCCGGCCGAGGTCGACTGGTATACTTTACCATCCGAATTGGTGTAGTGGCCAACATTTGACGCTCTCACTTGCCTTCGTCATATATCTCTTAGAGAGTGTGAAGGAGTAGTATCGGGGTGCCGTCAAGCCCGGGGTTCGATTCCCCGATTCGGAGTTTATTTTTCACGGTTATACTCATACAAAGAAAGCACTGATCGGGTTTTTCTCCCCTTTTTTTTCTTCGTGTTGTCGTCTACCGAGCTCGAGGGGTGTATAGTTGGTTTGCACAGACTTTCTGTCAAGTGGTCCCTTTGACCTGAATGTGGGGCTGGAGAAACAGTAGATTCAATGTTCATTGCCACGATGCACACCTGAGTGCCTATCGATAAAAGATAAGACTTCTAGCATTCGCTTAAGTTCTTATCCACCCCCGGTCCCTCGGACTTTTAGCGTTGTCTCCGGCAACGATTGAAGGTTCCCAGGCTCAATAGGTAGCACACTGAACTGGAGGTTGCTCACACAATTTATTTTACCCACTTGAAAGAAACTGTGCAACTCCCCGCAGTGTCACATCATAGGTACATAGCGTCACCAACCAGCCGGCCGGCCGTCTTTGACCTTCCCACTTCTCACACCCACATTGACCGGCTCCACTGCCAAATACTAATACTACTAGCATAACTCTCTCACCATCCAGTGAGAGAAAGAGCTCGAGACAGGTTTTTTTTTACCCGCCTGCAATCTCTTTTGCCTTCGGAGATAAGCCTACGAGACCGTGCCATGTCTTGGAAGTTTCTGGGACGTGACTCCAGACTAGACCCGTTACCTGATCTCTCCTCGGTCGTCTAAACATCGCACCTCTCACACCCCACCTCCTCGCCTCATCTGCCCGGTTACTTGCAGACCCCCCCCCCTCCCCGTGACCACGACCTGGCCATAGACAAAGATACCTCCTTGTCACAGCCATTCGATTTCACTGCGTTTTGCTACGTAGTAATCCCCTGCAACATCATTGACAGCATTTACCCATAGCACCCATCACCAGACCGCTACAATGGCTCCTAAAAAGAAGGGAGGTAAGAAGGCGGCTGACGACTGGGAAGCTGACCTTGGGGAGTCCGTTGCACCCACAAATGGCGACGCCACTCCTGACGCCGACGCTCCCGAGGAACAGGCCGAGGACGGCGATGCCCCCGTCGGTGGCCTCATGGCCATGATGAAGAAGAACCGAGAGAAGCGGAAGAAGAAAGGCTTGTCCGAGAACTTCGTCGATGGCGACTCTGCGCAACCCGCCACTCCAGAGCCCACCGACATCAGTGCCTTTAAGCCGCCCCAAGAAGCTAAGGCAGAGGACGAGTTTGCCCTGCCAGAAAAGAAGGGGAAAGGAGGAAAGCAGAACAAGAACCAGCCTGCTGCCAAGGCTCCCGCCGCTGGTGCTGCCGATGAAGAGGAAGATGGCGACGGTAGGATGCTCACCAAGGCTGAGAAAGAGAAGTTGAAGAAGGAGAGAGAGAAGCAGAGAAAAAAGGAGCAGGTCGGTACTATCACGCATCTGAATTGATTCCGAGCTCTAACTGTTTCTGTTTTGTCTAGGCTGCCAAGAAGAAGACTACCGCACCTGCACCCGCTGCTAAAGCCGCAGAACCCGCAAAAGCCGCCGTCGAGGAGAAGAAAGAGACCCCAGCCCCGGCAGCCGCTGACGAAGCCGCAGGGAAGAAGGGCAAGAAGCTTCCGCCACATCTGGCCGCCCTTCAGAAGCAACAAGAGGACTTACGGCGGAAACGTGAACAAGCCGAACAATCTGCCGAGGCTGAGAAAGCTCGCATTGCGGCGCTAGAGGAGGAGGAAGCTGAAGAGAACAAGCGAAAGGAAGAAGAGAAGGCCCGCAAGAAGCAGAAGGAAAAGGAGAAGATTGAGCAGCTCAAGAAAGAAGGAAAGTACCTCACCAAGGCCCAAAGAGAAGAAAAGGCTCGCAATGAGAGGAAACTACAGCAGATGATTGCCGCCGGTCTCCAGGTCGGGCCCTCAGAAGACGGCGAGGAGAAGAAAAAGAAGGTCACATACGACAGCAGAAAGCGGGGCAAGAAGATCGACCAAAAGGTTGTTCCCCATTGCCGCTTAGCTCGCGTATGCATTACCTTTGCTGATTTTTTGTAGGTGGATGAAGAGAAAGCCCTAGCCGAAGCTGCCGAGCGCGCCAGGATACAAGCTGAAGCTGCAGCGAAGGAGGCCGAAGCCAAGGCTGCCGAAGAAGCTGTTGCAAAAGCCGCCGCTGAAGCTGCCGCTAAGAAAGCTCGGGCAGAAGAGGAGATCGAGGATGACTGGGAGGCTGCCGCGGCTTCAGGGGACGATGTCAAGGACAGCTGGGACGCTAATTCAGACGAAGAGGCTGGAAAGAAAGGTCCTGCCAAGGGGCCCGCCAAAGCCTTACCCTCACGGCGGAAGGCCGCCGGGTCTGACTCTGAGTCCGAATCAGAAGAAGAATCCTCTGAGGATGAGGAGACAACAGCTGCTCGAGCTGCCGAGGTCAAGCGAAAGAAGGAGGCCGCCCAGCGGAGAGAAAAAGCGCACCAGGCTGCTCTGGCTGCCAGATCGAAAGAAAACCTTCGGAGTCCTATTTGCTGTATCTTGGGTCATGTCGATACCGGAAAGACCAAACTGCTAGATAAGATTCGACAAACAAACGTCCAGGAGGGAGAAGCGGGTGGTATTACACAGCAGATTGGTGCTACATACTTCCCAGGTTTGTCATAACGTCGTCCCCATGGCCACGATCAGCTACTAATACTTCTTCGCCAGGCGAGGCTATCAAGCAGAAGACTGCTGTTGTGAACCAAGACGGAAAATTCGAATTGAAGGTCCCGGGTCTTTTGATCATCGACACACCTGGTCACGAGTCTTTCTCCAACTTGCGTTCTAGAGGTTCTTCGCTTTGTAACATTGCTATCCTAGTTGTCGATATCATGCACGGTCTCGAGCCTCAGACCCTTGAATCGATGAAGCTGCTCCGTGACCGGAAGACACCCTTCATTGTGGCACTCAACAAGATTGATCGTCTATACGGTTGGAAGAAGGTAGATAACAATGGGTTCCAGGAGAGTTTAGCTCTTCAAAGCCGAGGCGTGCAAAACGAGTTCAAGAACCGGTTGGAGCAGACCAAACTTGCCTTTGCCGAACAAGGGTTCAATGCCGAGCTGTTCTACGAGAACAAGTCAATGGCCCGATTTGTTTCATTAGTGCCAACCTCTGCTCACACTGGCGAGGGTATCCCGGATATGTTGAAACTCATTCTACAGTTGACTCAGGAAAGAATGGTTGGTTCACTCATGTATCTGTCAGAAGTTCAGGCCACTGTTCTCGAAGTCAAAGCCATAGAAGGTTTTGGTATGACTATCGATGTCATCTTATCAAACGGTATTCTTCGGGAAGGTGACCGGATAGTCGTGTGTGGTGTCGAAGGAGCCATCACTACAAATATTCGAGCGCTGCTTACTCCGGCTGTCATGAAAGAATTGCGTGTCAAATCCCAATATGTACACAACAAGGAGGTGAAGGCAGCCATGGGTGTCAAGATCAGTGCACCTGGTCTTGAAGGCGCTATCGCTGGTTCTCGATTGCTCGTGGTTGGGCCTGATGACGATGAAGAGGATCTGGAAGAAGAGGTCGAGGCGGATTTGAACAAGCTGTTCAGTCGTGTGTCTACATCTGGACGAGGTGTTAGCGTGCAAGCGTCAACCCTTGGTTCGCTCGAAGCCCTTCTTGATTTCTTGAAGGATTGCAAGATTCCCGTGGCTAACGTGGGAATTGGCCCTGTATTCAAGCGTGATGTAATGCAGTGCGGTACGATGTTGGAAAAGAGTCCTGACTACGCTGTCATGCTTTGTTTCGACGTCAAGGTGGATAAGGAAGCTCAGGCATACGCTGAGGAGAACGGCATCAAGATTTTCACCGCCGACATCATTTATCACCTGTTCGATGCCTTCACGAAGCACATGGAGGAGCAACTCGAGAAGAAGAAGGAGGAATCCAAATTGCTCGCCGTCTTCCCCTGCGTCCTCCACACGGTTGCGGTTTTCAATAAGACTAACCCCGTCGTCGTGGGGGTCGATGTGGTGGATGGTAACCTCCGCGTGGGCACGCCGATAGCTGCCGTCAAGCAGAACCCTACAACGGGTGCCAGGGAAGTTATCAGTGTGGGCCGAGTGTAAGTTGACCATACTTCGACAGGAACTAATTTCGTTTGCTGTATAATTATCTTCTTGTTTGTTTTACTGACAAGTTACGCAGGTCATCGATCGAAAGAGATCACAAGCAAATCCCGGTCTGTAAGAAGGGACAACCCTCTGTGGCGGTCAAGATTGAAATGGGCGGACACCAGCCGACATACGGTCGACAGCTCGAGGAAACCGACACGCTATACAGCTTGATCTCGCGTGCTAGCATCGACTGTCTGAAGGAATTCTACCGGAAAGAAGTCACGAATGATGAGTGGTCGCTTATCATAAAGCTCAAGCCGCTGTTCGACATCAATTAAGGGGTAGGTGGAACTGACGGTAAGAAAAAAACAGCCGAGGTGAAAGAGTAAGAGCGATCATACATCATGGTTAAACATAAAATACTGAGCGCTTGTGTTGCTAGTTGGTTTGTTGGTTCGTTGACCCCTGGCTACCTAGCGGTAACACTTACTTGTATGTATTTATGAACGAGCGGATGAAATCGGTAAAATGAATGGTCTATGGGTAGTTTAATGGAATTCGTTACGTTAGTAGTAGCACTGCTGCTCTATCTACTGAGGTGATGGGAGGGGTGTACGTGTTATGTTGTTTATTCTTTATGCTAACTATTTAAAGACAATAAACAACTTATAGTTTCAATGTGTAATTAAGTCCTGTCCAAAAGCTTAGTTCATATATTGTTATAGATTCTTGTCACTAGTAGGCTTTGATTCTATATACACTTACTTACTTTCGCTTCCTTAATATCACACGCACCGAGGCACCAGGACCCAAATCTTGGACCGAGAACCTACCTCAACTACCTATCATGTATATAATCAATCATACGAGTATGATGACCCTCTAGCCACCTACCCTTGCGTTTTCCCGATTTATACAAGACAGCTAGAAATACGGAAGCGAAGGCAGGCAAGTAACCGACCAGAAGCGAGGCTATTTA